CACAAAACTTGTAAAATGACTACTTTTAGATTTTCTAAAGTTACCCATATAACTCCGGCTTCTGTTTCGTTTTCTTTCTATTTGGCAATTATAGAAAACTAGTCTACGAGCCCATACTCTTTCGTTTTTTATCATTGAAAATACAACTAAACTTCGGAAAATCGTAACTTGAATCATATGTTGTTAGAACATTAACATAATCTAAAATATCAACATCAAGAAAAATCACATCAGGTCAGTGTCGACTTCAATCTCGCTTGTGTAATATTGTAAACCATAACGGAATATAAAATCATAAAAGAAAATACACTCGCAAACAAACAACAAGAATTAAAGATTATTAAATCACGTATATCAACAACACTGCTAATACGACCTTTTTGCGATAATTGCCTATTCCACGAATTATTATCCTAATTCATTTTCATTTAATCACACATAATGTATAAGCGCACACATATAACACACTCACTCATACTCATAAACATTACATACACATACACATATAGATACATATATATAAACATACATGCATACACACACACATACATAACATATACATACATACATATACATACATACATACACACACACACACACACACACACACACACACACACACACACACACACACACACACACACACACACACACACACACACACACACACACACACACACACACACACACACACACACACACACATACATACATATCTTCATACATACATCCATACATATGCATACATACATACACACATACATACAGACATATATGTACAAACATACATAAAGACATATACATACATACAGACATACATACAGATATCCATATCATAATTCTTTAGTCCTGAAGTGAATTATAATATAATAATAAATATAAAATAATAGATTAACAGCAGGCTAAACAACGCATTTAGAATGGTTGACCTTTCCTTCACTGTTTACAGCCTTATATCAAAAGCTTTCTTGACTGGCTTTTATAGGTTGAAAGTTCCTTCCAAAATTTTTCTTCATAACTGCCCCTGACTCTAAAGCCCAAATAATCTGATGGAAGTGAAAGGCTAAAAGACGTCACAAGATTTCAATATGCTGCAAGAACAAGTATAAGTGATGAAGGGAATAATCAGTAAAGCAAGCATCACTGCTCATATGCTCCCAACAGATTTTAATAGAACTCGGGCAATATGGTTACAGGGAAAATAATGTAAAAAGTCTCTGCGGATGAACCATTAAAATTCACCCCAAAAATCACATTCAAAAGAGTGGAACAACAAACACTTGCAATTATGTACTTCTATACATTTAAAATCCCCTTGAATATCCATGTCAACTCCTAATCATCACAGACAAGATTCCCAATCCTATGGAATTTGTTAATAACAATCACTTTAAAGAAGCTTCAAAACTTTACAGCATTTCCATTTGACATATATAACACTTCAAATTATCCATAATGAAATTAATTTTATCAATACTATAACTTAGTAATCCATTAAGAGTACCTATCATATAGAAAATTCTTCAATGAAAAATTTAACAAAATATTTTTCAAAATTCTGAATAGTACATGTAGCAACTGTGCTGCAATTTTCCTTCTTATCTTCAATTTTAAGAATGAAGAAATTCAGACACGATACTACAGATGGGGGAGTACAATACAAACATAAATATTTACTGACATTACACAGTATTTTCCTTTTGCCCGAAACAGATGATGTAGCCTCCATCACAAAGCTAATTCTAACATTTAAATACCAAGATAAAGGTTCTGAACACGAGAGCATGAAATGACACCTCAGCCTCCCATACTTCACAATCCCGAAAAAGCCTATCAACCTCCCCCACATATATTCAAGAAGACAAAGCTTGGATTGGTTCCTTTTTTGACAGTGGTTTGCCAAGAAGACAGATAATCTCTGTATTTTCAAAATAGGTCTGACAGAGATTTATTTATCTTCATCAGTGCACTAAAGTGGACTCAGATGTAAAAGAATATATTTTCATATGCAAGTGGCACCTTGCAATTCCTTTCTACATATTTTTTTTCAGGTGATTCTCTACAAATGTCAAATGAAGAACCCTTCCAAGCTCCATCGAGCCAGAATTTATGCGTTGCACATTTGCTTTCCTGGACCACTATGGACATGATAACGTTCCAATCTCATGCCACTACAGGTTGATGCTCAGGTAGGGCATGAGATACACAGGTAGTTTTCATCACTGAGGCCACTGGACCCCACCTCCTTATCCCACTCCTTGAATTTTCACTAAAAGTACTTCCTATTTCTACTATCACCTTTAACCCTTTAATGCTGAGAGGGCACACCTTATCCACTGTAGTTTTGTTTTGAATATTTTGGTTACACACAGATAATTCCACGACTGTTTAGTTACCAAGCTGTTTATCACAGGCCTACCTGACATTAAGAACAATGATGATAGTATAAGTAAAAATCTAAATTCCTCAAAATGCAAGGAATAAGCTAAAAGGTGAGGTCATCTCTATCTAAACAAAACACAAATAATATCTACTTTACATGAACCCATAATAATAATGATGTTGATATTGACATTAATGATGTTGATAATATCAACAACAATAATAATGATAGTAATAATAATAGCAATATCATCATCATCATTATTATCATAACAATAACATCAACAATGATAACAACAGCAATGATAATAACAAAACAATAAAAAATAAATAAAAATAAAAAAAAAGAAAAATAATAAAATAACAAAAATAATAATAACAATAATAAGAATACCAACAACAACAACAACAACAAACAATAATACTAATAATACTAATACTAATAATAATAATAATAATAATAATAATAATAATAATTAATAATATAATAATAATAATAATAATAATAATAATAATATAATAAATAATAATAATGATATTGATGATAATAACAATAATAATAACAACAATAACAACAATAATAATAATAATAATAGTGATCAATAATAATAATAATATTAAAAATAATGATATCAACATTAATATTGATACTAGTAACAACAAGAAAACAATAATGACAATAATAATAATAATAATAATAATAATAATAACAATATTTATAATATAATATTAACAATAAAAACTAATAACAATTATAACAGAAATAACAATAATGATACTGATAGTGATAATAATCATGATGATAATGATAATGATATAGTGATGGTGATGATGATGACAACAATAACAATAAAAATATTAACAATTGCAATAATAGCAATAGTAATAATAATAACAATAATAAAGAAAACAATAAAATATAATAACAATAATGATAATAATATATATATATAATATAAATAATAATATAATAATAATAATAATGATAATAATAAATAATAATAATAACAACAACATCAATTTCAATATCAATATTAATAATAATAACAATAACAAGAATAATAACTATGATGATACTGGCTATCAAAATAAAAATTATTTACTAAAAATTCAATGCAACAAACTCATGAGGTCGGGTAGTCATTGAATCGTTTGTGATTATGAACTTGTGAAGCGATACATGTATATGTAAAATAAAAGTAAACAATAGTGAAGAATGCAGTGTATCACAATCTTGATTCCTATTTATATGAATAGTCGGGAGAGAGACTAAAAACTGGTACCAATATTATCCTAATTCACAATGCAGACATATTCTATATATATACCAACACTTATTTCATTTGTAAGTTCCAGGTGGGCATTAAAGTAGCAAAATATTTTTGTGTCACTGCAATATACCGTTTTTTCAAGCTGATGAGGCCAAACATCTGTTTCCACTGACTAAAGCAAAAATATCCGGACTATATACATGACAAACAATCCGTCATTACCATATTCTTTAATATCAACACGAAACAGCTTTCATAAAGACAACACATTTAGCGTTTTTTTTTTTCTTTTCTTTTTTAATCTTTATCATTCCTTAAGTCATACCTGTTCAGAAAAATTAATATCTTAATTTATAAATACCGTCACAACCTAACACTGCACGTAATTAGTATTACTGTACCTAATCTCCCAGTACATTCGATTACTGCATCACAATCACCATAATTCAGTAATATCATCGAAATATATCGAAATCACTCCATCGAAAAATCGTAAAGACCAACGTGTCACCTATTGACCACCGTGAACATGTTTCTGCACTTATTTTTTCTCATTTTTCCTCCACAGTCATACTATTAGAACAATGTTATATACTCTCTATGTTATATTTAAGCAGAACATGCAATGACATAGAAGATATAACAGAAATATTCAACTCACCGAAACACGTTGACGTTTTGTTTACACTCGTTATTATCAGCTGATCGTAAGACAAAAGACGGCTGAGAAGCGCACACTGACGACCAGTTTGTTACAATTGTGGGAAGTCCGATCCAATGAATATTCAAAATTATGTATATGCCCAAAAATATATGCATATCTGTTTATCTGCCTGATAGATATACATTTATCTATAGATCTGTTCGGTATATATGCATGTCTAGACTGATAGATATGCATCTATTTCTTTTTATATGCCTGTCAGTATAATGAATATTTATTTGGTCGGGCCTCGCACAACCAGCTGTAAATAAGATACTAACCTTCGTATCATTTCGTATTTCTATTATATTTTCCATACGATATGTATTTGTGTTTGTTATGGGGTGGTGGTGTGTGGGTGCGTGCTTCTGTGGGATGGGACTGAGGGTGGATTGTTGAATACATGTGTTTGTGCTTTTGTGTTTGTTTGTGTGTGTGTGTGTGTGTGTGTGTGTGTGTGTGTGTGTGTGTGTGTGTGTGTGTGTGTGTGTGTGTGTGTGTTTAAGTGTATCTTCTGTGTATAGGTGGATGTGAATTTGTGTGAGCCTATTGTACCGGTCTGATGAAATTGTAGTTTCCGTTCATCAAAGTAGCTCAACATTTCAAGAAGGGTTTACGACATCCATAGTCTCAAATTTTCGTACTTTATTGGACATAAGAAAATATACAAAGAATAATAAATAGTCATAAATTACATATTAACAAATAATAAATAAACTAACACTAAACTACAAAGCCAAATACAGTTGCATTCCCGGCTATCCTTACAATACAAATAAATATTCTAACTTAAATTTACACGTCTTTGGATTTTTCTTTCTTCTTTCTTCACTTTCGCGAATACAGTACATCAGTTCACAACCAAAGTTCACCGAGTTGTGAATTCTTCTGAAGATCACGATGATGGTCTGTGGTCTCTTTCAATGGGCGTTTCTCCAAGCAAGTGATAGCAAGCCGGGTGAAGACGGTTGCTTGGCAGCTTGCAGTCGACTAAAAATAATATAAAATAAAAAGAATTAGAGATATATAGAGAAAGAGAGAGTGTGAGGGAGAAAGAAAGAGACAGAAAAGAACGAGATTAGCATAATTGTTCGATAGTCATGGGTGAAAGATGTGTTTATTTGAAAATGCGACTGCAAGGGGGGTTATGATCACACCTAAACACAGCAGACTCACAAAATTATGAGCTCCTCTGTGACGCACCTTGTATGCAAGATCCTTTACACAGCTTCACGTCCAACGGCTGATCTCCTGAGCATTTTCCAGCGGCCACGAAGCGTCCTGCCCCTAGAGGTGACGCTCCCTCCACCAGAGACATCCCGCATGCTACTAGCCGGCGCTGGAGGCCCAGACCGCACCAGTGTGAGCACGGACTCCACGGCCCCACCACCCACCTGAAAAAATAGGCACGGAATATTACCAGGATTGTCTTTGGATACTAAATGAGTTAGTAAATTGGAGAGACTTTAGAGCAAAATCAGTAGAATTTTCGTATCAATGTGTTTGCTTTAAGGTTTAGAATTGTGATTTAAATCTGGAGGTTAGTTACTTACTCAGGGACGGCGCAGGGAAATGTATTGCAGGACTGGTTGAAGGGCGCGACGATGTTGGGCAGGCCGTTGCAAAAGTCCTGAGAAACCACAACGTCTGGAGCGCTCGTCTCAACGCACACCTGACGGAGATAGTTTTGTGACATTTGCTTAAGAGTGGCTTCATTATTTTCAAATTACATTATAAACGTTATAACATATTACGTTAAAACTCAGTGTAATAATTCGAAGTGCTGTATGTGGACACCTTACCTGAGCGACTCTGCGCGTGCCGCCGCCACAGGCTCGAGTGCAAGGGCTGATCCGGAAGGCGCGGGTGTGAACGGGTGCAGTTGCGGCCAACAAGGGCTCTTGTCGGTATCCATCCCGAAGGTAAGATATCCTGAAGAAGAGAACACACGAATTACAGAATAATAGGATTTATCTCTGAGATATAACTGCGCATCGGTAAAGGCAGTAGTAAGTGCTTCCTATAGATAAAAGTACTTTTGAAAGATCACATTACCTTGGATGCGCAGAATCGTGGCGATGGAAATTTTCTTCCGACTGGCGTCTGCTCACAAGTGGGTCCTCTGCCTTCATCATGGGCGCGCCTGTCCCGTGAGAGTTCATGAGCAAAGGAGCAAGCAAGTTCTGAAGAAGGTGGGAAGGCAGAGAGAAGTGGAGGCCCGAACCCGCAATGGTAAAATTATCCACCGAAAACGTAGCGCTGTGTTCCTCCTCGTCTTCGTTATTCTTGCCGAGCTGCTTTTCGTCGACTGGGGACGTCGGGGTTTCTGTCGTGGTCGTTTGATTTCCAACTTCGCGGCGTGAGATGTCTTCTAATTGGTGCGCGTCGTCTGCAGTGAGGCGAAGGGTTACTGGTTGTTCTGATCTTGAATGATTTGTGTGTCCTTGTGTTGTGTTTTTGGCTTCGTAAGGTAATGGTGAAGTTGTCATTTCCTCACGGACGAAACTGTCTGTCGTGGTCTGTGTTGTTATCGTTTCTGTAGTGTATGGCGTCGCTGTGACCTCTTCTGTCGGTTCGTGAGTTTCTGTGGTTCGATTTGCGGCTACAATATCACTTTTTGTTTCCGTGTCTGTGGCGTTCTGGTCTGCACCACCAAGGTCCTTGCCATCGAATACTTTTTCTCCATTCTCCTTATCGTCCTGCAGTTGCTCTTCCTCTTCTGTGAGAGATCGGATTTCACCTGCGAGAGATCCCACAGCCTCATTCACGGCGTCGAATAACACGAATTCGTCATCTGGCAGTTTCGCTTCAGTCGTGGGGATCTGCGAGGATTCAGCTGTCGTGTTTTCTAAAGACTTGATAGTAAATGTGGTTGTTTCCTGTGAATTACCTTCTGGGATGGGAGCTTCGTCATTAAATACTTGCCACGACTCGTCACTACTCACTGTGGTCTTCGGCGACTCTGGCTCGAAGGTGGTGGCTTCTGCGAACTCAGCGCTGGTGGTCGTGGCTCCCGTTGACTCACTCTTTGAGGAGATGGTTTTCGTTGTCTTGACGTCGGCAGTGGTTTCTACAGGCTCGTCATTAACAAGAATCCTTGTGTAGTTATCCTCACTGAAGGATCTATTATTTATGACTTCAGGTAGGGCTGAAATTCCAATCCTAAATGGCTGGGGTTCTTTAGCAGGGCTTTGTGGACGATTAGGATTTTCTGGACGATTAGGGCGCTGAGGACGATTTGGATTGGAGGGGCCGGTCGGAGGGGACTTGCAGCCGATGTATGGATGGAGGAACGGAGGCAGGAAGTAGCAGCGTTGGGGAATCGGTATATACTGGATCTGAAAGAGGAATCAATTCGCGAGTTAACAATCAACGTATAGAATTATATTTTAGACGTAAGAGCCATCTGACGAGGGAACATAGAAACCTTACTAATGTTTCCCGCTCTTACCTCATTCGGGATCTTGGCAGGAGGGAAGACTGAGTCGCCGCCGCCATTACCTGGCGGCTTTGTGGGTGGCTTTGTGGGCGGCTTTGTGGGTGGCTTCGTGGGCGGCTTAGTCGGGGGGATTTTGCCTTCCTTGCAGTCACCAGCAACACAGATTCGGTTCGCTCCGCAAGTGGTTCCAGGGAGGGCTGGATGCGCCCCGCGGGTCGTTACACCGTTGGTGCACATGAGGTACTGGCAGAGATTCTAGAAGAAGTGATAATTTGTCAATCATTGTGTGCGTACATAGGGCTGAGAACATAACAATCAATACAAAAAAAAGCAGGCCATTCAGAGAAAGTAGGTTGACTCACCCGCTTTGACGGCGTCGCCCTAAACCCCTTCCCGTGTGCCAGCTGACACTGGGCATCGGCGGGGTACCTCTGGCCCGGTGGCCCTCCCTTGGTGTGGTCCAATTCCTTGGGCGTTGCTCTGCTCGACGCGGCACCCCTCTCCAAGCACGTTTCATTCCTGGAAGAAATTGTTTTTAGTAGAGTTAGCATAAAAACCTTGTTTAAGATGCTCATTATTCAAGCAAGAAGCTAAAATGTAACATAATCGCTTTTATTAACATTTCTATCCTACAGAAAATAATTTAAAAGGTGTGACTTTAAATTTATAGTTTCAGGAAAATCTGAAAAGAGATATAAGATATTGAATTAAAAATTCTTACTTGAGGAAGGCGCTGATGGCGTCCCGCGAGCAGTTGGACCAGTCGAAGGTCTCCTCGGAGAGCGACTGGCCCATGATGAAGCCCTCGCTGGGGCAGCGGGCGGCCGCCCCCTCGCCGTCGTGCGGGACGCCCATGGAGTGCGCCAGCTCGTGGGCGGCCACTTGGACGGCCTTGAAGGAGTTGGCCTCGACCACGGAGCACGACGTCCGAGGGTGGCACAGGCCGCCCACGAAGGTCACGCCCAGAGAGTCCTTCGTCGTCTCGAACAGTTCCTTCCTGAGGAACAGAGCGAAAGCGGGTCCTTACAATGCCGTCGTGAACCATGTGCACGGTCAGTGCGGCCAGATCTCTCCCCTCGGCATGCGCCACAGCCTCCTCTGGCTCTGTCTGGGGACCTTCCGAAGGAACTACGGATTTCAGACCTTTGTGACGTGAAATTTCCACGGTGTATGAGAAGCTACTCACCCTGTCAACATCATGGCGTGGTGCCAGTACCCGGGATCGCCGCGCCCGGGCTTCCTCTCGCTCGCCCACTCGCAGAAGTTCAGCAAGTTACTGGATGAAAGGCCGTTGGTGTTGAAGGGCGTCGCCCCCTTCTCAGCCCACACGCCCACCTGCACCAGCTTTATCTTGAACTCCACGCCCTTACCCATGGCCTGCTGAATGACCTGCTCAATCTGCCAGGGATGATTCATGATAATCAGATACTGCTAAAACATACATTGAGTATTCTTCAAACAAGTAAAGATCCGTCACGCCAAACCCTTATTAATCCCACATGCAAGATCCAATATTCTAAATCCGGTTGCTGAAAGGACTCACCGCTGAGACGCCGGCGGTGACGTAACTATGGGTGGCAGAGAGTGGGTCTTCGGGATGCATGTCGGAGAGGTGGCTCAGGAGGGCGTCGTCGGAGAACACAGCGAGACGAAGCACGCGCGTTTCTGCATCTGTCGTTCAGGGATTTACGATTTGTTTAGATGAAATGTCCATGGCGTGAGAAAGAACATCTGGATCAGAAAGTCTATGTATCTATATTCTGGATATGATCATTATACTTTTCCAAGGTTCTCCTACAAATGTACAAAAGATCTGTTGCCCCTTCGAGTACATTGATTAGATTTTTTAAAACAAGTGAACACCCGAAAAGTGTCTTACCGTCTGTCTTGTTTTGCTCCGACGAATTTTTCATTTTATGAGCGAAATCAACATTAAAATCGATGTGTCCAATTGGTGATTCGAATCTGGCCTCTGGTTCGCTTGGCACCTGCTCCTGGTTTATTTGTCCGCGATTTTCCTGTAAAAATCAGATTTATACTTAGTACAAATACTTTCTATGGAGAAAGGAAGAGAGAGAGAGAGGAAGGAAGAGAAAGAGAGAGAGGAAGAGAGGAAGAGAGAGGGCGAGAGGATGAATGAGAGAAAGAGATCAGTCAGGTAGAAAGTCAGGCATGTGAAAATGTAGGAATAATCAGTTTTTAATT